CTTCCTTTCAGAGCTATCGCCAGGCGAAACAACCTCTACCCTAGACGACGTGATTTCAACTACTTAACCTCTCTTGAAAAGCATATAAGTGACAAAAGCGTTAGCGACGGATTCCGTCATTACGCTCCTATTGTCGGCGATACCGGCGATGGGTTCTATTTAGGTACGCGAGGGGGCTTGCATTTCGCTTGCATTTCACTACTCTTTTTCCAGTAATTATAAATGAGACGCAGCGCGAATGGTTGGCGGACTTCTCGCAGAGAGGGATTGGTATCGATGACACATTTAATGTGTCCATGTACAAACTTAGACTCGCTACGATTATCGTGGCTGATCACTGCGACCGAGCATTGCCAGCCGCTTTCATGCTGAGTTTCAGGTAGAGCAACAGCATTTTACACTTTGCCACTGTTTAAATACTATTGTGTAGGATGAGTGAGAACGAGTTGGTAGTCTTGTTCGATAAGGTCAAGGAATTAGTTCCTGCATTTGCTCCCGAATTCTTCATGAGTGACGACGCTCCATCGTTTTACAACGCGTTTCGAAGAGTATTCCCTGAAGCACAAACGCGGAAGATTCTCTGTAATTGGCATGTGCTGCAAACGTTCAAACGTTCAGCAAGAAAGAAGTTGACCAAAGTAGGCAGAACACACACTCTAACGTTTCTTTTTGATAATTTGTTTATCATTCATTAATTAGCCCACTGATCATTTAGCCGTCCCTGTTTGGAGAGTTCATGTCCAGGATTCGGCTTGTCAGCAGATCGTGCAAGTCGACACTGTTCACAAAAAGATACGGAGATACATTGACGTTTCTACTGAATCAGAACCAACATGAAATGGTCGACTATCTGCACCAAAACTGGTAACACTTCGTGATCGTTATGAAATTTTGGAATTCACCGTGCAATTAAGGACGAATAGAATAGAGGAGTGGGCTGCTCACCACAGGAGAGGAGCAGTTATGAACACATCTATGATGTGTGAACGATGGCACAAACATCTCAAAAGGGAAGTGTTCGGCTCAAAGAGCAAAATACGAATAGATGAATTGGTGGACGCCCTCATCACAGCAGTGAAAGAGATGAAAGAGGATGCTGCAGTAATAGTGAGTCGTGTTTCAGTTGATTAATGGCAAGGGACGTTGGTAACATTAGTCTGTTTAGGAGCATAGAGGGCTCGTAGAAGGGCGATTTCGTCTTCAAAACCATCATATCAGTCACAACAAAGCGATAAGCAACTACCTAAACTTGAAGCAGCTGATTACTGTCGTTGAGCCAGGCCTGTGGAAGATCCGCTCTCCAAATTCCAATAAGTTTTTCATGGTCGAGGAAGAGCGCTGTACATGTAAAAAGGTAATTAGCGAGAAAAGAGTACTACTAATTGCTAAATCAGAATCATTATGTGTAGGCCCTCAGTCATTGCCGTAAGCCCGGCTGCTCTGTCCTTATTCATTCTTTTGCGAATGCGACGATGACCGCAAGGCAGGAGTCTCTTGCATGCACGTTCATGCTGCCGTTTTATACGCACCAGAAGGTGAGTGGGGGTTTGGCGACCCTTTTTTTCTATGTGTTGTATTTATTTGTTGTGCATTTGAGGATGCCTTCCAAGTGCCGAAGACGCGGGCGCTCTTGACAGCAGTTCCCGCTGCTATGGACCTTCAGGTGCTGCGCTCAAACAGCCGTCATCCAGTAGCTCACAGCCGTTTCACGTCACCAACCAGAGCCGCCTCGATACAAACAAGGAGTGGATCCAGAAATTTGCAATGGTATGGTACCGGAAAAATTTGCTACTCACTAATATAGATATTCATTGTTGTAGGAGTGCACTTCCTTCCAAGCGACATTGAGAATGATAGCTTCACAACCAAGTGAGCAAGCCGAGCAGTCTTCGAGTGATCTGTTTGCCTCTATGAAACAAATACATTCGGACGCGAAGGAAAGGCTCTCTATGCTTGCTCCTGCGGCTCAGAAAATGCGGACCATCGCCGTTCGTCCAGAGGTTCCGATGAGAGGACCTGCGCCAAAAGATGCGAAACCCATCCGCATGAAAACAGTTAGTTGGCTGATTGTTCAAGATTATTTCTTTGGTTGGCCACTTTGAGAACTTTTTTCAGAAATCATGTATCAACCGAGAAAAGCGGAAGACGAAATTTGAAGCGCCTAAGGAGTTTTCGTCGGCAGAAGTGCGGGTCTGTGGGAGTTGTTTCCTGGAAAACCCGATTGATAATGTTGATGATGATATTTACTGGTTAAAATGCACTTTTTGCGATTGCTGGGGCCACCTCGGCAGTTGTGTTGCACTCAGTGCACAGTGCACTGTATGTAGTTCAGGGAAAATGGAGTACAGTGAGTGCTGACTTTTAGGAACTTTCACATT